GTTTTAATTGACATGTGGTCGTACCCGTTTCTTATATTTGGTCACAATAGATTACTATATAATACCATGTAATGTCACACACACGTACACGCAAAGTTACCACTTATCAACAAGGGTGTTAACAAAATTGATACTAATTTTCTGCTTAATTTCCTCTTCACGTTCTTGTTTTTTTCATCGTCTCTTCAAATGAGGTAATCGTTCCCTTATAACTTATTTTCTCCCCTGCCCTTTCTTATCTATTTATCCATCTTATTCACCCAACCATCCATGTTGATAGTCGTTCGCGTGAGGAAAGTCCCATCGGAGAATGATCAGGAACTGCTCGTGCAATGTACCGGTTATCCAGCCCATTCGACCGATCGACTTCAATGGGTCTTCTTCCCGAATGTTAAGGATGTCGACGTGCAGCCAGTCGGCGATGAGGAGGTAAGTTGGAATTGGTTGTGATTCACACATATCGACTGTGGTCACCACAAACAATCGTGGCGGGGCATAATAATACTTACGGTGAGGGACATTTATCTGTCTGATGGTTCTGTCTGATGGCTAGTTGATTTCTCATACTGAATCATCACACCTAGGCAGACCCTGATTTTTCTCAATGTATTAAATCGTTCACTCGAGATCAATGTTCCAAGAGTTACTTTATTGACAAATCGGCGTTTGTCTGTAGTCACTGAGAGCAATTATAGAAAGAGAACCAGACATATTGCCCATTTTTTGTACCAGTCGTTGTCAGATGACTAGGTAGTTTGTCAAGCCGCCGTTTTCCCCATTTTTGTCCGGGGACAGCTGTACAAACGAATCATTAGACGGGACTGAGTGTAGTTCAGACTGAGTGTTTCATTCAGTAAGGGTTGTCGTCCATCCGACAATAGGTATCACTCATTCAATAATGAAGAATGATATGTGGATCGCATTAATGTTTCTCCCGTATTCTGACAGGTGTGAGGCTGCCTTCCCCGATGCGCGCTGATCTATTGTATCTGAGGACAGGCAAAGCAGATGTATTAAACACATATGTGCACATTTTCTTTTTCACTGCTAATGTTTTTATGCACAGGTCTGCCCGCCTTGCCGTTGCCAAGCTTATACTTACTCACTCCGGTGCAGAAACCATCGACGAAGGCTTTGGAAACGGTTCCTGTAATCCGTTCTTCTCCTTGGCAATTTATTTTCACAAAGGATTTTCTTCAAACGTCATAGTGGACTTTATAAATATTAAAATCATTACCCCTCTCCATTTAATTTTATTCTCCGAATTTTTCACAAAAGTAACAGAAATGTTCGGTCGTACTCCGGTGGTATGCTTTGATTTTTGTCTACAAACCCGTATTCTCATTTATTGGGATTATGTCATTGGAAGAGATACGGGCAGACGGAATGGCTTCCTTCCGACTCGATAACATCATTTCCATCGACTGGTATGAAACACAATCTCACAAGAATAGAACATATAATAGTTTGTAACCCACCATATACAGATCTAAGTGGAAGCAAATTTATGCATCGAATCGGTTGTCATAGCAATTTGTGTTTCTTTCCGAAGTAAATCATTGTTTATCTTTGAGGGGATCACCAATTACTTAAAAAAATCGAGGAAGGCTTTTTATACTGTTCAGACATGAACACGTACAGTTTTTATTCATAAGTAGGAGAAGTCGGGAAGAACCAAACAACAAAAACAACAACAACGACAAAGGAGCATTTGGAAAACAAGACGATGACACGTGAAGTAAATCTGTATACACACACACAAACACACACACACACACAAAGAAATTGCTCCGCTTCCCATTTCTGAACACTTTGATTCATCGTCCAATGAACGAAATTCGTGAAATGAACCAAATGCAATGCGGGAACAACAGAGCACACTGATCGATTTGAAAGTAGTTATAAAACTGAATACAGAGAGTGAGAGCTGGGAAATGAATGGGGTTGAATCGAACACATTCACTCTCCTAGTGATTTATGTGTATTTATGATTCACCTCCAACCTGCTTTTCAATCAGTGACACCATGGACAGACAACAGTTCTGCATACTGCACGTGCTTAGTTGCTTAGCCTATTTGTTCATGGGCACTTCGATTGGGTGGTTACTGTTCAGAATACTTCGTCTCACGTCAACTGGACTCATCATAAGTTTTGGCATTGACAACAACAACAACAACAACATTAACTCACGCATGTCTAAACGCCCAAAGGTCTGAATATGCTAAAACCATATTTTATGCCACCACTGTCCAATTGCTCCGATTTGTCCATTCAGGAAATGTGTGCGGGAGGAAGGAGGGGAGGGGAGGGGGTGGGGACCGTGAGACTTATTCATTTGAACACTGCTTGGATTGTTTCTCATGAGAATTCAACCACATCTGTTTGTTTTTCTGGGCGACTATTCGTTCACACGGGGTTTGTACTTTATGAGAGGGTGTTAGATGAGAGTTTGTCTTCCTGTAAAAGAAAAACAAGCATGGTTGCTTTGGGCAATAGATTTTATGCGCAGAATATCTCGCGTTTGCAATCCGTCCGCATGGATGAGATTGTATCACTCTGATATGTGAAAAAATAAGCGATTGAGAGGATCAGGAGATTAGCAAGGAAATAGTGGAACAATGGCGTCATTCGATCTATTGGTGAAAATGGATAGGACAATGTGTACTTTTCGGAATGCGGTTCGTTCATTAGGTTATGTATCAAGCACGCGCTCATACTTGGCTGGTGGCGATCAGAGGTTAGACTGTACGCTTGTGTCCTCCCTTCCTCTTTTCCGCATATTAGGTGCACATAGATCTTCATGCATAGATCTGACGGGGACAAAACAGGCCAGTCCTTTCTCCTATTACCCCTAATCACATATGGGTGTATGACAGGGGATATAAGAAACCGTGTAGAGTAAATAAATGCACCATGACTTATTCAAAACTTCTAGTAACATTTACCGAATAAAAACCCATTGCGTCTAATTCTACTGAATTATTTTTTGTTTGACCAATATCATATTTAGAATGCCAGATTTCAGAATATTGTTTTACCATTTAAGAAAACCGTGATGGCCAATCTCTGACTGCGGATCGAAAATCATCGCACGAGCGATTTGAAAATAAAATTGTACCAGAATAAGTTTTATACGCAATAGAATGGTGTACGTACGTGTGTATTAAATGAGCACTGCACTAATACTGTTTTGCTCTCGTTGGAGCTCATCAGCAGTGCACAGCATTTCTGTGTTGCTGTCGAAACCTGAACCCGGTACTCCCGAATTGAGGGCCCAGAACCCTCAACATGGAGCCACATGTACAACAGAGTATCATTTCGTTCCGTTTAGAGCTTAAACTGCGGTCAAGAACCACTTCTACCGTGATATTTTGACAACATATTGTGAACCGGTAGATTTGAATTTGTGCATATTATGGAGAGTTCATTCTATAAATGACAATATGTTCTAGCTTAAGCCAACTTTTCCTTTGTTCGACTGATTGTTAGAGAACAGTACCACTCGAATTCCATTTTTCTATTCTTCTCTAGTTGGTTTCCAAGGTGAAATCCATTTTCCGTCTGGGTGACAGTACCCCAGCAACCTGGCCTGGCTCATCGGGACCACAACTGCTGGTTGCTTCTAAAAAGATAGTCACCCGGAATGCGGAATCGGACCCGGTCACACCGGAACAATTGGATGTGATACTGCACAAACCGGCCGAGGATGTCGACTTGGACGAGCGTATCCGTTCAGGGGCTTTAGCTTGCCAGTATCGACGCCCGAGATCCGTCGTTGTCATGGAAGGCAGTGTGCCCATGTTCGCCGTACCGGTCTCATCAGACGAGCAAAGTGGACAGGATGTTTTGGTTCAAGAACAAATAACAGTAAACACAATTTTAGGTGAGCCACTCGGTTCGTCCGTGAGTTGTCTGTTTAATGACGAGGATGAAAATAATTAAATATTTTATTGTTTTTTAGTGGCTATCAAATATTTTAATACAAGTCTTAAGGTAGGATGTGGCCAGAAAACTCACATCTATTCACCGTTTCACTGTTCGTCGAGTATTATTGTGGATATATGCTACAGTACAATTTCGACATTTCATTTGTGAATGCACAAGGACCAGTATCTTGCAAAACTATCTAGGCCTTTTTCGTGTTCCCAAATATTACTCATCGAACTTGGGCTTTCCACTTGTGGGAACAATCTTTATAAATTTCATTTTTATTACAGCTCAAATTCACTCTGACAATAATTACCTTTCAAATTGTTTTTTGGCAGATTTGAAGTTTGTATGTCGATGGTGAAACGTTTAGTAGCGTCGGTGGGATTAGAACCCACATTTTACACGACCTAAGAATGAACTTCCAAAGAGATAGGAAGGCCGTAAACTACATCTTTTCATTTGGTATCGTCTATGAACAAGAGAACGGCAGATTTTTACCAGTGATATTCAATTCATTCAAAGACTTCGGGTGTTTGGGCATCGGGAGCTGAAATCAGCTGATACTTATGTTGATTGAATAAGTGAACCGCAGTTGGGAATCACAATGATTTGACAGTCCGGTTAGATACAACAATAAGTGATCATTCGACGTTTAAATTCCCGTTCCTATCATATTTCTAGTTTTAATGTGTACCTTGACATTTATTAGGATAAGTCAAGGGTCCAGACACTGACATGTGAATTCCAGTAGATCGGTTTTTCTGCCTTTATCATATACACCTGAATGCAAATCTCTTCCCTCATTTCTACTAATAACGGTCTTGATAGAGTGGCAACCCATCTACTAT